GATTTATTAAAAAAATATATTGGGGGGTTTTAATGAAGTAAGCGTTAATCACGATTTACGAAGCTTGCAAAACGAGTGTCAATTATTCAATAATTATATAGGCGGGATTGATCGAAATGAGTGTTAAAGACAATTTATACGTTTTATTTATTATTTATTTATATATAAATAAAATAATTATTAATGAAACTTTAATTAATATTAATTCAGAAATGTAAAACAATCACTAATAAAATACCTTTATACTATTAAATTTCTATAAAATAGTTTTTCATGAACCTCTCTAAAACTTATTAACCAATACCCCTCATAAAGTAATGACCATATGAATGCTTAAATTATTCTATACCTTCTCATTTATTATCAAATATTTTAAAGCGATATTGAGAAATAATCTGAGCTATGAAGTGAAAAAGTAATACCGTTTTTGAATAGCCGTGAATTCATGTAGAGAAGACCTTTCGATATGAAAGAGTATCTTTTAAAAAGCTTTAATGGAGTACTTTCATTTTACTCTAACAACAAAGTTCGAGTTTATTATAAAGATAACGAAATATTTTTAAAAAAAATTCATGTGACACGAATTTCGAATATATGTTGGAATTGTACCATTATTTTTTTTTCTTCTGAACATTAACGTTATAACTTTTAATATAATGATCAAGTATTATATAACACTTAAAGAAATAAGTAATCTCAACTGCTTCCACTACTATGTAATATAAAGATAGAAACAATACATTACTATTATTCTTATAATGAAAAAAAAAATCTTTGCATACGCTTGACACTTTCTTCATAACATTAATACCTGACCTTTACCAAGACATTCTATTATTGTTTTAACAGATTCAGCAATTTTTCTTTTATGCTTTTCCTTTTGAAAATTGGTTTTATTTGGTCTTTGTTTAGTACTAATGCCCAAATCAATTTTATTTATAAAAGTAATGTAAATATAAATAACTTGACCAGCTTAACCCATCCATATCTAATGGCGGTGGTGGTGATTCACTATTATTAACCAAAGGTGACCTTGAATGAAATCTTATTTATTGAATATGTTAATATTGTCAATATACGTTGCGGAAA